TGTCTGGTTAACACTAATCTCCGGTTAAACATAGTTATCGACGTTACCGACGCCCTGTTGTATGCATGGAGTCGAAGACGTTGATAAAGATGTTTAACCGCAGATCAGTGTTAACCAGACATTGAGTAACCGGCCCTTAATATTCTATTCAATTGGGAGCAGGATTTTCAACATCGACTTTTCGATATCGATATTGTTCAGACCGATATATCGGCATATCGAATTTACATGCAATGAATTAAATCGATTCGTGATATCGATAACTTCTTAAATATCGAACATTCCTACTTGGATGTGTGTACATACATACATATAGGCGCATATTCATAGTCATATTTAGGGCCGGTTGTTCAATGTCTGATTAGCACAAATCGGAAGTAGAAGCTCCGGTGAAGCACAATTACTGCTTTATCGATCACATGTTACATGCATGATGTCGAAATCGTCGATAGTGTAGTGGTAGTGATAACCAGACATTGAACAACCGGCCCTTAGTTCAAAACTAAGTCGAAACTATCCTAAGTTACAACTAAAGGTATTCATAGTCGCCTTAGTTTCGACTTTTCTGGCTAAGTACCAACTTAAAATTAAGTTTCGGCTGAAGCTGCAATTAAGTCGTAACTAGGAAGAAGTATTTTATTAAAGCAAGGAAAAAAAGACGAAATAATTTAAAATTAAGTTGGCAGAGCGTGATTTGATCCATTTGAATCGGAAGATCAAATTAAATGCGTATTACCATTCGAATAAGGCTACATCACAATTTTATAATTGGAATGATTTACATATATAAATCAGGATGTTCAGATTGCTTAAAAAAATGCGCAATTTCTGAAAAAATCGCCAAAAATCGCCAATTTTTTTAAATAAAATTCATGAAATAGATTTAACAAATCTTTTATTTTAAAAATGAGCTCTTGTTATAATATAGTTTTTAAAACCAAACACGAATATAACACCTTCAGAGGGTAATAATAAATAACAAAAATCACTTATATAATAGTGATGTACAAACAATTTCTTTAAAAACACGCAAACTTTTAAAAAATATTTTTTTCAACACATTTTGCAATAGGACTGCGCAATTATTAAATTTATTATAACTCACATTAATTGATTAATCGCACAATCCCCTTTTAAGAGCTCGGCACTAAAAATAAAATAAAAACCTATAGTAAGGGTAGATCAGCTATTTCTACAATTTCATTAAAATCACCTATAGCGTCTGAATGATTTACATTTCTGTTGTTGTCATATATTGAGCTATTCAACCTTGATAGCATACTGTTTGATATTGGAAACGTTTTGTAGCAGAAACTAGTAGCCTTCATATAACACTTTATTCGAACTATTGAATTAAGGCTTTCCAACCTCATGCTATTTCGAATCTTAGCTTTTGTTGAATTAATTACGGAAAAAACGCGTTCAACAAAGCATGTGGGTGCGGCAAGGATAATATTTAATATGAATTTACTTATATTTCCAAACATTTTATTGCGACACGACACTACACAGCGCGGCAAAACAATCTTTGCTTGTATTCTTATGGAGCATACCGCACTAGGCTGCAGCGGAGCTAGGCGACGCGACGCTGCGCGGCAAAGTTGACCAACTAGGCAAAAATGTCGCGCCGCGTGGTGTCGCGCAGTTCCGGTGCCGCATGGTGCGGTATACCTAGCAGAGCGACATAACATTTCGTACTATATTTTTAACTTGAATTAATTAGATTTCCAATTGTGAGTGAATATTCACATGCATTTCCTTCAAGAAGAAAATTGTATGTAAAGAAGCATTCGCCAAGGAAAATTAAAATAAAAGGCATTAACATTACATCAGCGCCACAGGCATCCATCTTGTTTGAAGGTTTTGACACAAATAAATGAAAAAATTTGCAGCGAAGTGTCGCGCCGCTGCAGTTTCAGTGCAATATACCAAAAAGTGTCGCGCCGTGTCGCGTAGTGCCGCTGCAGTGTCGCGTCGCTTAGTGCGGTCTTACCTTTAAGCAATTATCTAAAATTCTTCAGAGTCGGATCTGAGAAAATTATTCCATGGGAAATTTAAAAGATTTAAATATTCAGTTTCCACTGCTTTTCTTTCCTTCAAAGTCAAATAGTGAATTGGCAGGTCTCTGAAAATCGCCCTCTTGTGATTCACACACTTTTCTGGTGACAAAATCAAAGCTTTTTTAAAAGTATTTAATTGACTAGGTAAACGTTTCAAAAGTTCTTCGATTATAGGGTGATTAAACATTTTTGACAGTCTTTTAATATGCTTCTTAAGTCAAGTTTATCACGCAGTTCATTAGCCTCTTCTGTAAAATTATCGTGGAAAACTAAGCTTTGTATATTTTCATAATTGGAAAAAATTTATTTGAAGGGAAAAAATAGCCAAAAATCGCCAATGGCGATTCCCTAAATGTTTACGCGCAAATATCAAAAAAAATCGCCAAATTGGCGCGAAATCGCCAAATCTGGACACTCTGATATAAATGTTGAAATAAAACGTCAATTTCAAGCTTGTTCTTTTAGAGCAAATTAGTGCATAACATTTAGATATGTGTTTGTATGTTTCACAGCATGATTTTGATAAATATCTACTTCATATCATTGCGGCAGTTCTGTCTATTCAACACAATTAACATGAAACTTATACCTTATTCTTTTGCATAAACATGCACTGAAAGTAAAAATTACATAAACGGATGATCAAACTTGACATTATTTAGTAAAAATGTCTTTTTTCCAAAATATCGTAAAGAAAAATCTATACATTTTCACACTTCATATCGCAAAACTAAGTTAAAACTACTTAGTAGAAGTCTGAAAGGCGACTATGATTAGGTAAGCGGGCTGCCTCCGCATGTGGAGGCACACTTGGACTCGACTAAGCTGTCCGTTGTGATGCCAAAGGCGACTATGAATAGAAGTGAATTTTAATTTACGTTTAACTGCCATACCTAAACAAAAGCTTCAGCGTTGTTTGGCTGTCAAAAAAAAAAAACTTCTCATGCCCATACAATTTGTATGAAGTATACCGAAACAACGCGGCGTCAACGCTGAGAGGTTAGAAAATCCGATTTTGACAGGGCGTTAGGTATTGAAGTTGGCTGCAGAAAACGGCGAAACTGTCATTTTCGTGTTACACACAAACAAACCTATGCTTATTGTTGTTGTTATTTCTGCATTTGACGTGGCGTTGACGCTTTTGTTTAGGTATGGCCCTCCGGTGCTAACGCTAAGTGCCAGAAACCGCTACGCCCAACGCTTTTGTTTAGCTATGGCAGTAGGATGTAATATTTATACTTATATATGTTCAATATTTACATTTACATATGTACATATTTATATATTATACACATTTGGGGGACTCACAACGGTAACGTAAGTGTCGTATTGTTGTATTTCGTAAACTTTAAAAGCTTAAATAAATGTTTAGAGAAATTAAAACCACAACCAACTATTTTTGCGAAAATTCATATCAAGGAATGAAACCGAAACCCAAACCGAAACCGCAACCGTGTAAAACCGTTTCGTTTTTCAAAACCGAAACCGAAACCGTAACCGTTATCTTGACCTGAAAAGGAACGATACCGAAACCATTTCAATCACAGGTTTCAATCGGTTTCCAGAAATTTACAAAAATAATAAATCAAAATTTCTTTGAAATAAATGATTTATTTAACCAAAATCTTTGTT